TTATAAACAAGTGCATGATCAGTATTTGTATACAAGGCACATAATGGTTAAGCTGGCAGATATTCTAGCATATAAGAAAGAAGTGTCTGGAAGCTGGAGATTGTAGCCACAGACCTCCTCTGTAACAGAAGGTCGATGGGCAGTTTGGAAAAGTCCATTCTGATTCTGCAACTAGAGAGAGCACGCGCTGGGCCTCCGACCATCTGAAGTAAACAAACCAGTGTCGGTGGCAAGAGTCAGCCTCCTGCGCAGTCAGCCCTTCTCAAGTGTTCCTTACAGTCAGGGGAGAGGCCAGGGGTGCACCCGCGCTGGGAAAGCTCCCGGGCACCAATTTCTGCTGCCAGGAGCCCTGTACTCAGGGCGTGGGCAGCCAGAGGGCCTGGCAGGGCGACAACCTGCCAGGGCTCTAATCCTCCCTGACATGGCCTCAGGGAGGTCTCGCTCTTTCAACATGAAAGTGGCAAGAACATAATTTAGAAGACCGGGACCCTATGTCTGTACCTCTTCCAACCATCATCCTATTGATGTGAAAACTTCAGAGGTGCTTAAACTGAAAAAAGAAAAAAAACATGAAGTGCCTCAGATGAATAGTCTGAGAGTATTTTCCTTCTGGTGACAAATGTGAAGCCACACACTTATGGAGTCCATATTTGTGTCTTGGTTCAGGGGCCCCACTGCCACAAAAGGGTTATGCTTTATGATGACCGTTATGACAGCAAAACGCTAGCAGCCTTTATTTATAAAGAGCTCATGTACACTGACAAAAACCAAAACTAAAAACGATGGGAAAAAAAAAAGGAAGTGACAGCATTCCACCCTCTCTGATTTAAAAAAAAAAAAAAGAGTCAACAAACACTAGAGAAACATTAAACCTTAGTCAAGAACAGCAATGCTGTGTCATTTTCATCATCAAAGATGAAAAGATGAGAAAATTCAGTAAGATGTATGAGACAAGCACTCTCAAACTTCTGGGGGAGGAATACACTGATTCACACACACAGCCACCACGGCATATTATTTACAGTACTGCAAAACAGTGTTGTAAAACAGGACATATAAACCGTGCACCAAAACAAAGTCATAAAACAGAATATATAAACCATACATGATAGTACAGCTAACCCAGCCCTTAAAAACATTGTTTAGGAAACATTTCTAGTGACAAAGGGGAATATTCACGTGACAGTGATGGTTACAAAGCAGGGTACACACACACATATTTATGCAATCCCAGTTATAGAAAACATTATAGGAAGAAATATGTTGCTGGGTGGTTATTTCTACAACCTTGAAGTTATGATTTTTAGTCTTGTCTCCATACTTTCACATTTTTCTGATTTTCTACAACCAACATGCATTACTTTATTAAAAACAGGAAAGACTTCACTTAAAAATAGCAAGTGACTCAGCAGTCTCCCTTCTGCCCGCTGAGGGAAGCACAGGCTTATCATTAAAGGGAATTAAAGAGCTCACTGTGCTGAGAAGAAGATTACAAGGATTGTTAAAAGGCCAAAACCAAACAAAAAACCGGGGTAGGCTCTTAGGAAGGCAGAGAAGGGTGCCCTAGGGTTTTCCAACCAAATAACCATATCCTTTCACTGTGACATGTTTAGAAAAGAGGCTAGGCCGAGCCCTCAAGCTCTCTGTCCACATCCCGGGAAGCACGGAGGGGACACCCCGGCACGAGTGCGGAGCAGACACACAGCACAGCCCCTCACCTCACGAAGCTCTGCGTCTTGTCAGAGGTCCGACAGATCAGTACGTGCGGTACCTAAAGGATGCTATGTGCCATTTTCACTCATTCAAAAAAACAGAAGTTCCTACTGTGTATCAGGCACCATTCTGGGGATAAAATAGACAGACTGTTCCCCAGAAAGATTACAGCAGGGGGAACACATAACCTGGCCTTCAGCTACATCAGAATGTGGGCTGAAGTAGCCTGAGAAAGTTGGTGAAAAATCAGCAGAACCCAGAGAGGCAGAAAACAGGGAGTTGGTGATGGACAGGGAGGCCTGGCGTGCTGCAGTCCATGGGGTCACAAAGAGTCGGGCACGATTGAGCGACTGGACTGAACTGAACTGAGGAGGGGCAGCAGCTGAGGGGGTGGACGGTCAGGAAGGGTGACGGTGGGCAGGGGCAAAGCGAGGGAGGGAAGACCGAAGGCAGCAGGGCCGGCCTGGAGAACCCAGGTTCAAGTTCTCAGTTGCCCCAGGCGGTGGAGCTGGGACTGGACTCTATCTGCACAAAGGGCTGAGAGGAAGGAAACCTGGACTGCCACCCGCATGTCTGCTCACGGGCCTCTCGGCTCCAGTTTTATTTTGTTTCATTCTCTATTGAAAACCTCCAAAAGGTCAGTCCAGAGAGGACAGGAAGTCAAAAACAAAGGCTCTGGGTGCCTGGGGAGCTGCTGTGTGAGGCAGCTGTACAATCTCCTCTGAGAAGCCCCAGGAATCTTTTTGCATTAAGCTTGATAATAACCTTTTTTTCAAAAAGCCCAAGTGGAACAGGCTTGAAATAGGAGAAGTAAGACGGAGCATTTATACACAGGCAACCCAACTCCCAGCCTACTGGTTCCTGGACCACTGAGGCAAGTGGAATCTTATTTCCCACTACACAGTGGTATAAATCTGGATTCCAGCCCTGAAGTCCATCTGACACCCCGAAATCCCTATATTCATCAAAAATTTAGATACAGGCTTTTACAAACATCTGTTAATATGCAAAATTGTGCAAACTATGTTCCTGTTGGCAATTTTTCTCATGCCATGGGTTGGACTGGTTAAAAACTTCTCATCCTACCAGTCTAATAACATGGACTAAACACATCATTCTAATATTTGATACATCTGTCTGTCTCTGCCAAAGGAGTTGCTGATAAATCCTTATTCTCATCAGCCGCCTACTGCAGACTGAACATGTGTCCCTCCAAATTTGTGCACTGAAGCCTAACCCCCAGCATTTGGAAGTGGGGCCTTAGGAGGTGATTAGGGCTAGAGCAGGGATTCACACTATCCCCTCTTGAATAGGATCAGTGCCTTAAAAAAAGAGGCCCCTGACGGCTCCCTCGTCCCTTCCACCCTACGAGGACACAGCAAAAGGTGGACCGTCTGGGAACCAGGAATCAGGCCCCTACTACACCCTGAATCAGCCAGTGCCTTGATTTGGGGCTTGCCACCCTCCAAAACCAGGAAAATAAATCTCTGCAGCGGACGAGCCACCCCGTCCACAGTAACCTGTGGCAGCAGCCTGTGCGGGCAGACGCTACCCTTCCCTACAGCCTGTCCACATCCTGGCCCCTCACGGCTTTCGTCTGTCTTGCCACGTGCAGGACGAGTGTGGGCTGGTCAGGCAGACCCTCCAGCCAGCATGGGGGAAAGGGGAGGGGCTGCGCCTCCCGGGGGGCTTCCAGAAGCTGATCGCCAGGGCAGTCCGCAGGGGCCACCGCTGGCCACCACTCCCTGCACTGCCCACCACGATGGGCAGCTGTGGCCGGGGCTGGGTTTGGTTTTGTCTTGAAGGAAGTAGGGCACAAGTTTCTGTGGAATTCCAGAACAGGACCTTGAGAAGAAACTGGGAGGGAGGCAGGGCGAGCTGGACATTCACAATGTGACCTCCCCTACAGGGACCCAGGAGGCACCCTGCGAAGGGCATGAAGATGATTGTCCTGAAGTCAAAGCGGCGGAGCCAGCTGCTGTTCCTCGGCACAATGGCCCTCACGATCACGGTCATCTGCCTGCTCTTCTTTGCTCTCCTCTGGAAGGCCGGCAACCTTGTGGACCTGCCCAACCTCAGGGTCGGCTTCTACAACTTCTGTCTCTGGCACGAGGGTGCCGGCGCCCTGCAGTGCTACCAGTTCCCGGAGCTGGAGGCCCTGGGCGTGCCTCGGGTGGGCCTGGCCCTGGCCAGGCTCGGCGTGTACGGCGCCCTGGTCCTCACCCTTTTCGTCCCCCTGCCTCTCCTCCTGGCCTGGTGCAACAACAACGAGGGGGAGTGGCAGCTGGCCGTGGGCTTCCTGGCCACGTCCTCCGCGCTGCTGGCCAGTGGTCTGGGCCTCTTCCTCACCTACACCTGGAAGTGGCTCCAGCTCTCCCTTCTGGGACCTGGGTCTCTAGCTCTGGGTGCTGCCCAGGCCTTGCTCATCCTCTTGCTTGTGGCCACAGCTGTGTTCCCTCAGAGGGCAGAGGACAGGAGCTGGGGAGCTGCTAGCTCCGTCTAAAGGCTTACGTGATCGCAAGGGTTCGCTTTGACCTGTGCTCAGAGAAGGCTGCCAGAGAATGCACGGGCTGGTGTGTCTTCTCGGCCACCCTGTTTCAGAGCCAGTCCTGAGCTCCAGCTGGAGCAGGCTGGACCCCCCACGGAGGGGCTGGGCGCCCAACGTCAAGGAGGACAAGACGCAGTGAGAGCAGCCAGCGCCCCTTCGGCTTCTTAGGATAGGGTGGTCTGTCCTTTGGGACTTCTTAGAACACCCGAGAACCACGTAGCTCATTGTCGCAAGAATTCCTGCTTTAGTTAAGTGACCTGAGCAAGCCATTCTGACTTGATCCTCAGAACAATGGGGAGATAAGGCTTCCTGTCACTGGGGCCAGATTTCCAGGACAAGCTGCCAAATGCCAGACGGGAACCGGTGATGGTTTATGAAGGAACGCCTCGGTGTTCCCAGGAACCCAGCCTAGCAAGCTCCCCATCTCCATTCGAGACAATGCTCCCAAAGGCCGAGGAGTGATCTGAGGGATTCACAGAACAAAAATGCACAGAGAACAGTCTGGCGGTTTTGAACATTCCCCTGAAAAGGCTCCTGGGCCTGAAGACAGAACAAGGGTCTAACCACTATGTATGAACAGACCTCTCCCAGCATGCGACCTGGGCTTTCAGGAACCCAATAGGCCAGATCCCTGGTCAGGAGAGGAAGATGAACGGGACTGAACCAGCCCACGTCCATGTAAACGCCGCATCCCCTCCCCTCTCACCCGGCACTGGAAAGGACACGAGCACCGCTCACGCACGGGGGTGCTTTGAGTATTCTTCAGCATCTGTTACACTGACAATCTGTACATCACGTGACCGGCTCACCCTTGTGCAGAGCCACACTCAATAGAGGCAGAAACATGGACTCCAGTGTGATGTCTTGCCGTCACTGTCTCTTTGGGGCTCCTATCCCACTCTTCCTTTCTAACTGCCCAGGGACCAAGGCCGAGGCCTAGAAAGGTGGCGGCCCAGGGGAGGAGGGCTGGCTGGTGGGCAGGCCTCCCAACCTGTACATGGGACCGCAGGCAGGCTCTCAGCGGGCAGCCCAGCCCTGGGAGAAGGTGTCCAGTTCAGGGTTGGACCAACAAGGGCTCAGTGACTGACTGACACATGACGGAAGAGATTTTAAAAATAGGCTTCTTCCTTGGGTGGCCAAACCATAGGAATTTCAGTGTACTTAGGAGCCATACTTGTTTTTCCTTGAAAATTATTAAGTTGACTCCCAGTTCCAGTAAATTTGACTGCCATGATCTCATTTCTCTGGAACCAGGTACCTGAATAAGACAGTGTCGAGCCCCCAGTCCCCTGAGCAGGAGGGCAGAGAGCAGGAATTCTGGGAGGAGCTCATTTTGATTGCTCACCTCCCCCAGTGAACCCACCCAGTCCAGGGAGGCTCCACGCTGGGGGCAGTAGCTGTCACAGTCTGACAGGCAGCGCCCAGGCTGAGAGGGGAAACCCAGCTTCCTTCAGCCACTCTGAGCAGAGAGTCCTGGAACTTTGTCCCTTAGCTGAAAAAGATCTCCCTGACGTATTTTAGCTCGTCCTGGTCTTCCTCGAGGCTTCTGCTGCAGGCCACGTCAGAACCCGCGGGCCCTGAGGCAGGCCCTGAGGCAGGCCCGTCGGCCCCACGGTCCTCTTCCTCACTGTCCTCACTTCCGCTCCAGGGGGCACTTGGGGATGGTGGCGCTGGGCTGGCCGGGGAGCGCTCTGGCTTATCAGCGCCTGCCAGAGGTGGCAGCTCCAACGGCTTTTCCTGTTTTTGGTCCTCCTGAGCAGAAGAAACGGCAGGCAAAACAGATGGGTTTTATTTCCCTAACGTGCAAAGACACAGAACGTACCCAGTAGCATCTGTAAAGCCAGCGCTGGGGGGCCGGGCCCCCCCACCTCTCACCCGACTCCGCCCCTCCCCACCCTCCTTCTCAGGCGCTGCAGAAATCAGGACCAGCAGGGCGAGCGGGGCAGGGGCCTGAGGAACAGCGGCGCAGGGAAGACAGTTGGACCCAACGGACGTGGAAGGGCAGGCTGGCAGAATGAAAGGAGCACAGGATGCGAACCCTGAGTGTGGGCCTCACTCACTGGGATTAGCAACAGCATCGACCGGCAGGTTACTGCAAGCATTAAATGGGACAGGAATATATAAAAGGCCCCGAGCAACTCTCAGGGACCACACCACTCGAAGGTGGGACAACCATTAGCCGCTTCTGGAAGCCAGGGCATTAGGCGCAAGGTGCTAAGGATGGTGCTCAGAAGTCACCTGCCCGATGGAGACCCTCAGAGAACAAGCAGTCCACGACTCCTGTCCCCTCCACCGGCCACCAGCAGAGAGTCACCCAGACAGCGAGGGCCACCCTCCCTCACACGGCCACGGCCTCCCAGGTCTCCAGCCCCAAGGGCCCGGCGGGTGCACCCCTCCCCTGGAGCGGGCTGCAGGTAAGGGGGCTCCCGGCTGCCAACAGGCAGGGTGCCTCTTTTATCAGCACGAAACAGGGCCTGGTCTAGTTTCTGCCCGCCAGGAGTCTCTGGTCATCAGAAAAGACACAGCTGGGCTTCCCTAGTGGGTGAGTGGTGAGAAGTCCGCCTGCCAATGCAGGAGACATGGGTTCAATCCCTGGTCTAGGAAGACCCCACAAGCCTCGGGGCAACTCAGCCCATGTGCCACAACTACTGAAGCCTGTGTGACCAGGGCCCACACACTACAATCACTGGGCCCAGGACCCACAACTACTGAACCTGTGCTCTGTCAACTACAGAAGCCCATGCGCCCTAGAGCCCGTGCTCCACAACAAGAGAAACCACGGCAATGAGAAACTCTCTCACTGCAACCAGAGAGGAGCCCCCGATCCCCGTGACTAGAGAAGAAGACCGAGCAGCAGCGGGGACCCAGCACGGCCAAAATATATACGTAAACAAAATTAACAAAACAGAAGACACAGTTGACTTTACCTCAACCAGGATCCCCAGGGCAACGTCGACGATTTCGGCTTCATTCATGCAGTACACGGTCCTCACGGCAGGAAATCTGAGAGAAAAGCATGAAGTTAGCGACAGGCACGAATCACCAGGAGCAAAGAATGAGACCCAGAGTGGCATGTCGGGGCCTGTCTGCCAGGGCTGAGAGCAGTAGCCTCTCCAGGGCACTGCCGTGGCTTCTGCATCCCTGGAACCAGTGACTGGCACAGGGGCTTCTTGGGGCAACCGTGGGGGCTTCCCACCATCCACCAACTCTGCTAAGAAATAAGGTGAGACGGCCGGCTCCTGAGAGAGACACAAACGTGCGCGCACAAGAAGGTCAAACAGACCAAGAGATGTCTGAATGCCACCCCTCACCCCCATGCGTGCATACAATAAAGGAGGGCTTTCCCTGGTGGCTCAGTGGTAGAGAAACCCCTCACAATGCAGGAGACCTGGGTTCAATCCCTGGGTTGGGAAGATTCCCCTGGAGGAAGGCATGGTAACCTACTCCAGTATTCTCGCCTGGAGAATCCCCATGGACAGAGGGGCCTGGCGGGCTACAGTCCACAGGTTCGCAATGAGTCGGACACAACTGAGTGACTAAGAAGAATACAGCAAAGATCAGAAAGCAAGGTTGGTCACTGAAGAAAACTTAGAAAAGGAAGAGTCAGAGAGGGACAGTGAGCGCCTGAGACTATGGCCCGGAGAGGACAGGGGTACCCCCTCCCTGGCAGCTTGGAGACCCCATCAATATTACCATGTAACCAACCTCCCCGCCCACCCCCCACAGCCTCTGATTTCCGGCCGGCCCAGCAACCTGCGGCTCGTCTGCCTGTCCCTGAAAATGTATCTGCAGGAACATGGGATCACCTGGTCCACCAACCCCCTCACTGGATGGTCACAATTTCTGCAGCAAATGAAGATACTGGCAGTTTGGACAACTGGTGTCTGACAGCTTGGCTGATGTGTGTTTAACTCAAGAGCTGGAGCTGCTATCTGGGAGCTAACCCATACGGGCCTGAAGGTGGAGATTCACCAACAGAGCAGAAGCCAGTGCCAGCCTGCCAGGGCACAGCCACCTGCAGCCTGCGCACCCCCCTAAGAGTGGATGAGACGTCTGTGGACTGAAACACCCCCTCCTCACTGTTCCACCAACACTGGACGACTGGGCCCCAGCAACTGAGGCCTTCAATCGCTCCCCATCCTAGTCCCCTGGAGGACAGAAGCTGCCCCACCTGGCTGCAGCCGCTGGCACCGTGGCTGGTCTCCACTTGGGGGTCTTCACCTGCGCCGCCCTCTTTTCAGACACCTGGGCTGTCATCCATGTGGGCAGCACCCGCTTTCTATTCTCAGACTTTAAGGCTTCCATCTCTTTAGTCTCTCATGAAGAAGAACCAGGGTCCAAGCTTAGTGACTTCAGGACATCAAATCCCACTGTCTTATTACACACCAGGAACTGTAGGTCCGTCTGTCGTCAACAGGAGTCCAGCTTTAATTCCTACAAAGAACAAAGTCCAGTGAATTCTAATATATAAGAATATTCCCAGGCATCAGCCACAGTGACTGGTTAGGGCAGGCCGGAGGTGAGCAGGGCCAAGGAGACTCAGATGGGTCATTCACAGGGCATGAAGAGGCAGGTGTGGAGTGGGCAGGCAATGGGGGTCAGGGCAAAGCAGCCCTCCACTCAGGGCCCAGGGCCCCCACCAGCAGTGGGGCCCCAGGCTCCCAGGAGCCTCTGCACTGAGCCCCTCAACACAGGAGGAAGGCAGGCGCCCCTCCTCCTCTCCATGGGAGATGTTCACTGTCCCCAGGGTGTCCAGACTACCCTACCCTTAACACATCTCTCAATGCTCTCTCCCTCCCCTCCTCCCATCACAGATTTCTCCTTCCCTCTATCTGGGAGTGGTTATAAGAAACCCTAAGGCCATTTTGATTCACAGCGAGGTTTCACTGGCCAACACCCACTCCCTTAAATCCAAAGATACTTCTGACCAGTCAGATTTCAGCCAGCAGTGGGGGTGGGGGGTGGGGGTCAGAGATCACTGTGCCTGAATGTGCAGAATCCAGAAGCCAGGGCTTGGGGGTCAGGGGCCGGTTCTCATCTAACCTGGCCTCTCCCCACCCACCCCCACTGGATTCCTGCCCTGCCCCTCCTCCTGAAAGTCAACCCCGACCCTGTGACTCAAAGGGTGCAGATCTCTACCCTCCACTGATCAGTTAACCCTGAAAACAGCTCAGCGCGCGCGTTCTGTGAAAATTCGAGGTGGTAATAGTCATTCCCACATCTAAGGCTGTTTTTCAGTCGCTCAGTGTGGTCCGACTCTTCGCGACCCCATGGACTACAGCCGCCAGGCTTCCCTGTCCATTACCAACTCCCAGTTTGCTCACACTCATGTTATTGAGTTACTGATGCCATCCAACCATCTCATCTTCTGTGGCCCCTTCTCCCGCCCTCAATCTTTGCCACATCTAATGAGCACCGATAACCGCCCCGCACAAGCACAGCTGCGGTGCTCCGTGCATATACTGATTTGACCATGAGATGGATATTCTGAAGCCCATTTTACAGACGAAGAACTGACATTTAGCAATTCGCACAAAGTCACAGAAAAAAAAGTTTGAAACGGCCGGTCAGGACTCGCACCTGGGCCCCGCCGGCCGGGGGGCGGGTGAGGGCCTGGGGTGGCCCCGCGGGCGCAGCGACCCGCCCGGCGCCCCTAGTTATTGGCCTCCCCGCTCTCGGGGACCCCGCGCCGCTTCAGGCGCGACGAGAGCGGGGCCAGCCCGCTAGAGGAGGGCGAGGGGGGACGCGCGACCCAGCCGCCCGCGTTCCCGGTACTCCTCAGGCCGGGCTTCCTACCTCTGGGCCCGCGCCCCCTCCCTGGCTTCCGGGGAGGGCCCGGGAGGCGGATCCAGACGGCGGTCGGGAACGGGGAGCCCCGCCGGCCGGGCCACGGCCCCACGCGCGCCGCGGCCCGCCCCGCGCTCCCCTACGTTCCAGCACTTCCGGCTCCCGGCCGCCCGCCGGCGTGGAGGACACGGCGCGCCCCCTGCCGGCGGGCCGCGTGGTCTGCGCCCTCCGCGGTGGGGCAGGACTCGCCCGCTGAGACGGAGGGCGGACACTCGGGCCTCCGCTGACCCGGGTCCTGACCAAGTCTCTCCTTGGCCAAATTCAGGTGGGATCTGAACTCTTCTCAACGAGGCCCTGCCTTTTGGACTTACGCGTGCGTCTCCACATTGTCCATTTTTACTGAGAATACTGCTAATACTGGATTAGCCGGAGTCCGCCCACCCTCCACACCTGATTCTCATCCACCGCCATGCCATCCCCCCAGGTCATGTCTGATTACCCGGCCGCTCCCAGCAATAATCTTATTAGGTCGATGTAGCCAGGAGCCCACTTCACCCTGGTGTTTCCTCTTAGTAATTATCCATCCACTGACCCCCACCCAGCCACTTCCCTTGTACTGGGAGTTGAGTTCAACCTCTCCCCTACAGCAAAACCCTACCTAATACACCCTCTAATAGTTTCCTTACTGTTCTTTAATCAGGTAATTTTAACAGTATTTTTTTTTTAACGGTTCCCAAATGTGGCTCCATTTGAGGCTTGCTGGTTAAGTTCAGTAGCCCAGTTGTGTCCGACTCTTTATGACCCCATGGGCTGCAGCACACCAGCCCTCCCTGTCCATCACCAACTCCTGGAGTCTACTCAAACTCATGTCCATTGAGTTGGTGATGCCATCCAACCATCTCATCCTTTGTTGACCCCTTCTCCTCCTGCCTTCAATCTTTCCCAGCATCAGGGTCTTTTCCAATGAGTCAGTTCTTCACATCAGGTGGCCAAAGAATTGGAGTTTCAGCTTCAGCATCAGTCCTTTCAATGAAGATTCAGGACTGATTTCCTTTAGGATTGACTGGTTGGATCTCCTTGTAGTCCAAGGGACTCTCAAGAGTCTTCTCCAGCACCACAGTTCAAAAGCATCAATTCAGAACTCAGCTTTCTTTACAGTCCAACTCTCACATCCATACATGACTACTGGAAAGCCATAGCTTGGACTAGACCGACCTTTGTTGGCAAAGTCATGTCTCTTCTTTTTAATATGCTATCTAGGTTTGCCATAGCTTTTCTTCCAAGGAGCAAATGTCTTTTAATTTCATGGCTGCAGTCACCATCTGCAGTGATTTTGGAGCCCTCAAAAAATAAAGTCTGTCATTGTTTCCCCATCTATTTGCCATGAAGTGATGGGACCAGATGCCTTGATCTTACTTTTCTGAAAGCTGAGTTTTAAGCCAACTTTTCCACTCTCCTCTTTCACTTTCATCAGGAGGCTCTTTAGTTCTTAGCTTTCTGCCATAAGGGTGGTGTCATCTGCATATCTGAGATTATTGATATTTCTCCTGGCAATCTTGAGTCCAGTTTGTGCTTCATCCAGCCCAGCATTCCATATGATATACTCTGCAGTTAAGTTAAATAAGCAGGGTGACAGTATACAGCCTTGACGTACTCATTTCCCGATTTGGAACCGTCTGTTGTTCCACATCCAGTTCTAACTATTGCTTTTTGACCTGCATATAGATTTCCCAGGAGGCAGGTCAGGTGGTCTGGTATTCCCATCTCTTTAAGAATTTTCCACAGTTTGTTGTGATCTACACAAAGGCTTTGGCATAATCAATAAAGCAGATGTTTTTCTGGAACTGTCTTACTTTCTCAATGGTCCAGCAGATGTTGGCAATTTGATCTCTGGTTCCTCTGCCTTTTCTAAATCCAGCTTGAATATCTGGAAGTTCTCGGTTCACATACTGTTGAAGCCTGGCTTGGGAAATTTTGAGCATTACTTTGCTAGCGTGTTATATGAGTGCAGTTGTGTGGTAGTTTGAACATTCTTTGGCATTGCCTTTCTTTGGGATTGGAGTGAAAACTGATCTTTTTCAGTCCTGTGGCTTGCTGGTTGGACTTTGTTACAGTGGCAATTCCCAGGCCCCTTCTTCCAACCAGAAATTAAGGAGAGGGGGAAGGGGGAGCTTCATTTTGGAAAGCTCTGATGGGGAAGGGCAGAGGGGGAAGAGGTGAAGTCCCAGAGAAACCAAGTTCAAGGCTCCCTGCTGGAGGCACTCACCCCCAGGTAGGGGGAGTGGTGGCAAGGTGAGTCCCTTGGGTGCAGGAAGAGAAATTAAAAACATCGTTTACATGTGTTATCTAGAAAGTAGGAGTTACTAATCACTAATACTCAAATTGGCGACTGAGGTGTTCCCTCTGAGAACAGGGCTGCGCCACAAAGTTGCCCAGGTGTCCTCACTCTGCTTTCAACTTGATGCCGAGTGCTGCAGTTCACACGTGGAGTTAGCATCTCACTTTACATAAAATCATACAGCTTGAAATAGCTTCAAAAAGGCAGGCAGAAAAAGACCCCCAAGTGGCAGACATGACTAAAACCACAAACATTTGTGTTTTGGAGGCAAAAGGATGGTCAGAACCATCTACCCCGCAAATGTGAAATTATCAAGACAGCCATTTGAAATGTGACTTCCAACAAAGCAGATAATAATAGAATAATTACTTTCCATATACTAGAGGCACAGGATAGGGGAATGTGATCCAGAGCTTGGAAAATCAGAGCCAGATCTCGCTTCTAACTGCGTGGTGACTTTGCTTCTCCAAAGCACTTTCACCTCATAACTAATCCTCAATCCTAGGGAGGTAGGCTGGTCCAGGAAAGTTTAATTCAGTCAAGGATTAAGGAGATAAATCAAGGATTTCAAATCACAAAACCAACCTGCTGGGCACTGGAGTTGTTTAGCTGTGGGTTGAACCTGGGCTCTGCCTCCAGCCTCTTCAGGAGGCAGGACCTGCTTCTCTGGTTCCCAAAGGTTCCAACATCACTGACCGCTAGTGACCTCACTAACCTCTGTTCCCACAAGTTATGAGCCAAGACAAACCCAAGTCTAATCAGTGGAGATGCATCATTTTGTGAGTAAAGGAATGGGGAACACTTACTGTGAGAACCACTTCCTCTACCTTTTTCTCCTTAAAAACCTCTTCCCATAGCCAGCTGAAAAATGTAGGACGCCCATCTGCATAAAAACCTTTCTGTGTGAAGGCCCGAGTAGGAAACCCAAGCGGAGGGATTTGAATGGGTGGGAGTCAGCTCCTGAAGCCGTTTGAATGCTGAGCGCAGGGTCCCGAGGTCTCGGAGCAGGAGCAGGCAAGCGCAGACAGGCCCCGAGGATAACGAGGGAAACGCACCTCACTGTTCTCACGCAGCCCAGCCCAGAGCCAGGGCCACCCCTGCACCGGGCTTGCGGGGCCAGGCACTGGGGCTACACTGACCTCATGGTTTTCATCTGGTTGGCCCTGCCCGCACCAGGGGAGGGACCTTGCTGAGGTTCCCGGGTAGGTGCCAAGCTGGCATCGTGAAGGAGAGGTAAATTTAAGTTTTGACATGCTTTATTGGAAGATGGGAAGTCACCTTGGAAGGGGGCGGGAAGGGACAGGGAGGAACCCCAGGAAGAAGGCACGCTGACAGGCACTCAGAATGGGGTGGGGGTCGGAAAGAGACAGGCCAGGAGGGGCAGGGTGGCCCGCAGCACATATTGTACCTGTTGATTTCAAAAGGCCAGAGGCTATTGTTGTTTTGGTTTTGTGTTTTTAGGCAGCTTCAAAGTGATGTGGAAATCCCCTGCCCCATCCCTCCTGGTGGAGCCTGGGTCACATCAGCTGTGAACAGAGCTCAAAACAAGAGGGAGACGGAGCATAAAGGAAATGAGAGAAGAGACAGCTTTTCAAGTGCTGTTTTTCTACAAACCTTAAAGACATTTTGGCGAGCTGCGGAGACCATATGTATGGAGGAGATGCCCACATGCCCTCAATGGGCACTAAGACAGAAACTTCGAGATGGAGAGAGGGAAAGTTAAATCGTGAATTCTCTCATCCAAACACATGACCACTTTTTAAATGGCCCACAGAATCCCTGGGGGAGAGAAATAAGGTTGCTGCTTCAGTGCAAAAGCTGGGGACAATTATAGGTGGAAAAGTCTTGGGAATATTAATTTGAAAGAGGATTACCAGGTGGAAATGGGTAAAAATGTTTAAGTAACTACTTATGACTAAGTCTCTCATGTTTTCTCATAATCGAGCCTCCCTGCTTTCCTACCAACTCCCAGTAGATCACAGCCAAAGTTTTAATACCCGTCTTTTCATGATTTTCCAAAAGGAGGTAACTTGGAGCACCCCCTCACCAGGCCTGCACCCCAGATCTGGGTTGGAGCCCAGAGAGCCTCTGCAACGACTGTTCTGAGCAGAGCCTGGTGACAAGGCTGTCCTGTCAAGGGTCGGAGCATGAGGTCCGGGCCTGAAACCCGGGCGCCTCAGATGGAAATGCAAGCGGGAGAAGGCAGTCATCCTCTCCTGCTTCTCCACCCTGTGAGGACATCTGCCTTTTCAAGGTCCCACCCAGCCAGGAAGCAGAGGGCCAGGCTGTAGACACACCCGGACGGCGAGACCCTAGGTTCCAGGCCAGCACTTGGCCGACTTGCTCCTGTCCTCTGGCCACTCACCAGCAGAGGGCGCTGGTGGCTGGCTCTGCTCAAACTCAAGGATGCAAAGTTCACAGGACAGGAGGAGCCCCCTGACAGGTCCCAGGAAACCACGGTCACATAGATGGAAGGAGCAGACACCTCAGACCGTGCCCTTGTGCCGAGAAGCTTCTGGAACAAAAGCTGCCAACTCTCAGGGAAAAGAAGAGACACTATAGCCTCCTTGAAAGTGAAAGTCGCTGAGTCATGTTCAACTCTTTGGGACCCCATGGTCTATACAGTCCATGGAATTATCCAGGCCAGAATACTGGAGTGGGGAGCCTTTCCCTTCCTCAGGTGATCTTCCCAACCCAGGGGTCGAACCCAGGTATGCATTGCAAGTGGATTCTTTACCAGCTGAGCCACAAGGGAATCCTGAAGCCTCCTGACACAAGCCCAGAGACCAAGGAACGGCACAGACCTTGGTTGGCGGGTGGAACAGTAGAGAGATGTTCTACTTCTATGGCGAAGCAAGAGCAACCCTGTGATAAAGGTCAGCCCCGTGGCTGGTGAGGTCAGAGCTGGGGTGCGGGGCCCGGGCTCGCCATGACCGTCACCAGGGAAAAGGGTGAAGGCAGACACACTGCTGCACACACACATTCCAGAAAGAGAGGCCCGGTGACCACAAGAGTATTCTTTTTTTAAAAAAGAAAACTGAGCAAATATATACAAAATACTTCCAATCTCTTCTGGGCCAACAGAGCAGCCACCACAGCGCTTCTTCTTCCTGAGCTTTCCCCTGCCATCTGGAGCCCGCTCCTGGCAGACCCAGTGAGCCCATGTCTGGGGAGCACGTGCCGCCACTGCACGTGGCTCCTGTTCCAGCTGGGAATCTGGACAGTGCCCAAGCGCTCCGGGCAACCTCTCCCCGAAGACTGCCCACCGGGCAGGGGCCGCGGGAGGAGCTTCCCGCTCTCCTGTGTCTTCTCTGCCTGCATCCTGGGGTAACGCTGCCGCTGTGGGCGGCCCTCGGGGCCGCGGGGGGAGCTTCCCGCTCTCCTGTGTCTTCTCTGCCCGCGTCCTGGGGTAACGCTGCCGCTGCGGGCGGCCCTCGGGGCGGGCCCCGTCAGGCTTTGTGGGCCAGGAGGGTGGTGAGCTTGACCTTGCCGTCCATGGAGGCAGTGAGGCAGGTCCCGCAGTCCACCGCTGTGCTCCAGTCCACCGTGACCACAGGGGCGCGGTGGCCGCCCAGGCTCACGCAGCTCGCCAGGGCCTCGTCGTCCCCGCCCAGCTGCAAGGGGACAGGAGCAACAGCATCAGGCACTGCTCACAGACACATGCAGTTCATTCACTTCCGGGGGCCAAGCTGCCTTGAGCCCGGGGGCTGCCACCCCAAACCCAGGACATGCCCGGGCACACATAGCCCTCCGGCCAGAAAGTCTCAGGTTCGCCACTTGGACCAGCGATACCTTCAGTTTCCTGACTACAGTTACTCCTTCAGCCAAAGTGGAAAATAAGTCCCCAACATGCTCTAAGAGGCAGAATTCTCTCTGCCACCTTTAACCTGCTGTGGGCGTCTGAAAAGACCCTGATGCTGGGAAATACTGAAGGCAGGAGGAGAAGGGGACGACAGAGGATGAGATGGTTGGATGACATCACCGATTCAATGGACATGAGTCTGAGCAAGCTCCAGGAGGGAAGCCTGGTGTGCTGCAGTCCATGGGGTCACAAAGAGTGAGACACGACCGAGTAACTGAACTGACATTTTTAAAGGATATGGGGGGGAAGCTTTCAACTCTCAAATTGGTTAAAGAGCAAGTCTGACTACCAACTGATCTGAACTGATCAGGACAAGTGACAAAGCCTACAGGATCAAAAATAAAATAATATACACACATACAGAGAGCAAAAGGAGAGCCCACCTGGAAGTCAACCAAGTCTTTAAATAATGAAATAAAATTAGGCTTTAAACAGAAAGCTCTTTACAGTATCTCCCAATAACAATTACAAGAAATGGAACTCTATGTGATGGCATCACACTGTACACCTTAAACATATAGTTTATTAAGTTATTTGTCAACTGTAGCTCAGTAAAGCTTAAGAAAGATTTTTATTAAAATACCACTGAAACAAATAAATAAGAAGGCACAAACGGGAATTCATTTCTAAGGGGAGGGCGAGAGCCAGCCGAGCCGTCACCGACTACAGGGAAGAGCAGCCCTGGTGAGAGCAACCCAGGCTCCCGGCTCCACTCTTACGGTCCGGGAGGCTCCTGACTGCCCACTTCCACAGGCCTTTCCCCTCGCCCCTTGCTCCCCGCTGCCCCGTGGGACCCGAAGGCCCACCTTCCTCCTCCTCCAAAGGCCGTGATTCCACAGACGAGCACCCCTTTCCCGTCCTCCCCGAGGACTGGGCCCCACCTGGCTCCCTCCCCTCCGAGCCCTCAGCTCCATACTGCCCCCACTGACATATAGTTTATTAAGTTATTTGTCAACTGTAGCTCAGTAAAGCTTAAGAACGATTTTTATTAAAATACCACTGAAACAAATAAATAAGTAGGCACAAACGGGAATTCATTTCTAAGGGGAGGGCGAGAGCCACCCGAGCTGTCACCGACTACAGGGAAGAGCAGCCCTGGTGAGAGCAACCCAGGCTCCCGGCTCCACTCTTACGGTCCGGGAGGCTCCTGACTGCCCACTTCCGCAGGCCTTTCCCCTCGCCCCTTGCTCCCCGCTGCCCCGTGGGACCCGAAGGCCCACCTTCCTCCTCCTCCAAAGGCCGTGACTCCACAGACGAGCACCCCTTTCCCGTCCTCCCCGAGGACTGGGCCCCACCTGGCTCCCTCCCCTCCGAGCCCTCAGCTCCATACTGCCCCCACTGCTGACGCTTGCGTCTCATTCTCACTGGAGTGTTAGCGCCAGGAGAGGGGCCACACTGTCCCCAGTCTACACTGCCTGGGGCCAAGGCCACACCCACCCACGGCTGCCCCCCAGAGCACGGCTGCCCGTGGACGGTGAGCCCTCGGGAGAGAGCATCCCACTCTGTGACTCCTTCTGCCTACAGACAAAGCGCCACCGCATTCATGTGCAACTGGAACTACACGCTCAGGCCGCAACACAAAGCCTCATCGCCCCTGTCTACTTGGTCAAGCGACTCCAGATGGAGAGGTTTAGAATTTCACTCGATTATATACACAAACAAGGTACATGAACCAGAGAGGCTGTGACGAGACGATTAAGACAAGCAGATCAACTGAGGGACAGAACAGAGTGGACAACTTACTTGCCACGTGGCTCATCACACCCCTGAATTTCTGTCCCAGTCGTGGCTGGTAATGTCCTTGACCCACAGGACATCTCATAAAACAATAAATCTATGCCAGATTAGAGTAACTGGAACAGACCACCTGGGCACTCACCCAAACCAACACACAGCCCTTCTCCCTAGTTCTGGATGTTCTATAATTGTTATTATTCCCAAGGAAGCAGGCAGAAAAGGGGCAGAGTCTCATGAAGGGACAGGGACAGGTGAGCAGAGAGGAGGACAGGCAGGTCACCCTCAGGGTTTCCGTCCCCCCAGTTTCCCCTGAGCCGGCCTGCAGCCGGGAGGCCTAGATGGAGTCCATCCCTGGCCAGAGGCGTCTCCATGGCCACCAGGCAGGGACAGGGGCTCGAACTCAAACAGGCCCAGACCTCTGGGGAGGAACCTCCCTGAAACCCAGCGGCCCCCAGGTACCTTGTAGATGACGCCCCCTGTGGCAGAACACGTCAGCATGTAATTGCCCTCCGAGTCAAAAGCGAACAGTCGGCCCCGGGGCACCTGGACCTGCTTGTAGCCGCTGTAACCGGACAGCACGAAGGGGCCTGTGGCGTCGGCAGGCAGGCCGTACTCGGACACCTTCAGGCCACTCTTGTGGATGTTCCACTGGATGAACTGCAGCCAAAAAGCACAAGCGCAGCGCTCTCAGCGGGGTGGCCAGGGCACGGGGCCCGGGGGACGGGTGTGGGGAGCAGTGAGGCGGCCCCCAGGAAGTGGGGGGGATCCATGGGCCCCAGAAAAGGTAGGGAGATGACCATCCAGTCCCAATGCCTCCCGACACAATGTAAACTTTTTTTTTTTTTTTTTTGAAGGAAAGAAAATCTAGAAAGAATCAGACACATCACGTCCAGGTCAGAATTTTCTCTCTGGCCTGACTCCAGGAGCAGCAGAGTTTAGGCACCGGCCTGGACTCCCATCGCTCAAGCTGGGGCAATACTCCAACGATTGTTATTACTACTGTTGTTGTAACTGTATTATTCGTGAAGTTAGAAACCAGCTAGGTTTTTCTTAAATTCCAAATACACTTCCGGTTCCTCAGCAGTGCAGCCGATGGAACATGGGCGGCGGAGCACAAGCTGAGCTCGGGGACTGTACTGCAAACACCCTTCGGCCTGCTTCAGGGCCAGGCTGCCTGCTGTGACCTCCTCCCGACTGAGAACTCTACTCAGATGAACAGCAAGCCAAGCTCTGATTTAAAAATCCCTTCTCAAGAGTTTTCAAGTGAAGAATTCACTTTGTAACGGCTATCTTCACTGGATAAGAGAGGTGGACAGGATACAATCCCGAAGGCCCAGGAGGGGACACACGAAAAGTGAGACCTTATCCCAGCTCTGCCTGCCCCAGCTCCCTTCCCAGGGATCCTAACAAATTCTTCCAGGGAGACTAAAAGGAGGTGCTTATTTTTACCTTCTTCCCCAGCTCCCTTTTTATGTTTCTTGACTCTGGGCACAGCTGCCTCCAGCCCCCCGGCCTAGAAAGTTCTACCCACCCATGCTGTGATCACCCGGTGACCAAACTCACTCAAGTACACCCTGGCCACACTGGGACCCACGAGCAGGGTGGGTCAGGGAGATGCATCCTTTCTGCTATAACCAGGAGAAAGGATGTGGGTCTTCCCCTTTCATAACAGTTGACTCCCACTGAACTCATATTCAGTGGGACCTCACAAAGGTCCTATATGAGACCAGTTACTATTTTCAACTCTGTTTTACAGAAGACAGAGCTGAGTAGAGAGAGGCCCAGGTCACAGAGCTGGTAAAAGGCACGGTCAGGACTGAACTCGAACTGTGCTATTGTGGGGCCCTCCAGAATCTCAGATGCCTACTAAGCCAGGGGAAGGGAGCTTCCAGGCCAAAGCCCGCTCCCACTTACCTTCCCGTCCTCACCGATGCTGTACACGGTGTTCTCATCGTAGCTGAACTCCACGGAGTAGACCTCCCCGCAGTGGGCCTTCCAGCTCATGGCACACTCGTGCTGCTGCATGTCTGAGGCAACAAGACGCCGCTAGGGTTCCCACCCGGGCCCTGGGGGGCACCTGCCCGCAGGCAGAGGCACCTCACCCTCCCTGTGCCTGCTGGGCAGGAGCTGTTCTGGAGGCAGAGGGCCCCCTGGACCCAACAGGAGTCACAGAGCTGACCGCAGTGAAGAGTCTGCACGGGGTGTTTCAGTTCACTAGTTCTCTCCTCCACTGTGCCTAGTCTTCTGTTAACCTGTCTTAAATGAAAGCTTCTCTCACTGATCAAAGGTGAGGTTCAAGAATCCTGGGGTGGAGTCTGTAAGTCTAGGAGGACACAGAAGTCCTTCCCAGGAAGGCACTGTAACTTCCCACCAGGATGCCCAGGAGATCAGTTAAAGATACAGTCCCCAGGGGTGCCTTTGCACTGGCTCCGGTCTCCTGGGACAGGCCTGCATGAGGAGCTTTAAAGAGCATGCTGCTGACTCTGAAGCCCACCCTCATACTGCTCTCACAGAGACTGTGAAATGGCCCCACCAAGAGGACAGGACAGCATCACTCCTGGATCTCACTTGGGCAGTGAAGACTCAGATCCAAGAGCTCAGGACTGAAGGACTGCTAAGCCCCATCCCTCCCATGTCCACTGGCTCAGATCAGGAACAAGGTAATTAGGGGGGTCCTGAAGCAGACGCTGACCAAAGTTAAGTTCTCTTAAGAGAATCTTGAACCGGGGTTTCGCAGTAGCCTCTAGTCCCGCTGGCAAAAACCCAGCTCTCTTCCCTGGGCCGATGGAGGAGGGGACCAGGACTGCTGTGAGCACACTCGCTTACCAAACAGCCGGATGACGCCGTCAGCCGCCCCCGTGACCAGCAGGTTCCCATTGTGGTTGAAGGCCGTGCAGTTCACGGCAATGGGCTCTGGATCCAAGCAGAACTGGAGCTGTAAAAAGGATAAACCACGTTTAAAATGTAAGACAATTAGAAACCAATCCCAAGACAGGCTCTGTCTGAAAGGGGGAAGCAGCCCGAGATTGAGGAGTGACACACCAGAGCACAGAAGGATCAGCAGTGTCCCACTTTTAAACCGTGACAGTAGACAGGTGCTCGTTTTACAGTCTTCTCTTTACTCCAAACACCTGTGATTTCAGTATTCTCTTCTATGGGTTCAATACTCAATGAAAAAATTGGAAAATAACAAATAAACATAAAATTAAAAATCCCGAGAAAGGCCCTCAGCAGAAAATGTGCCTAGTCATTCAGTTGTGTCTGACTCTTTGCCACCCGACGGACTGCAGCCCTCCAGGCCCCTCTGTCCATGGGGATTCTCCAGGCAAGAATACTGGAGTGAGTTGCCATGCCCTCTTCCAGGGGATCTTCCCGACCCAGGAATCGAACCAGGGTCTCCTGCACTGCAGGCGGAAATAACAAGATTAAAAAGGACCTGATCAGACTAGGTGGGATAAGGTAGAACACTTACAAGATGCCAGAGGACAGATGTACAGATGTCTGCTGGATGGAATGGGGCAGGAGGGTACATGTCATTACCCATCTGTCCAAGCCCACAGAACACACAACACTAAGAGTGAACCTTGATGTCAACTGTGGACCTGTGGTGATTACAATGTGTCCGTGTAGGTGCATCGATTGTAACGAGTGTGCTGCTCCAGTGAGGGAAGCTGGTAGCAGGGGAGGCTGGGCACGTGTGGGGACAGTGTGCATGGGGAAATCTTTGAAACTTCCTCTCCATTTTACTGTGAGCCTAAAACTACTCATACCACCCTTTCTATGGCCATGCCACCCTGAATGCGCCCGATCTCGTCTGGTCTCAGACGCTAAGCAGGGCCACGGCTGGTTAGTGCTTGGATGGGAGACCGCTCGGGAATACTGGGTGCTGTAGGCTTTGGGGCTTCCCTTGTGGCTCAGCTGGTAAACAATCTGCCTGCAATGTGGGAGACCGGGGTTCAATCCCCGGGTTGGGAAGATCCCCTGGAGAAGGGAAAGGCCACCCACTCCAGTATTCTGACCTAGAGAATTCCATGGGCTGTCCATAGGGTCCCAAAGAGTTGGACACGACTGAGTGACTTTCACTTTCAAAGCTACTAAAAAAAAAAGTTTTAAATCTTAAAAAAAATGTTTAAATTTTTCAATAAGCCAAAAGGGCCCACTAGAAGGCTGTGTGTGAATTCTAAATTTGTTGCACCTTCCAAACGACTTCAGTTGCCAGCAATCTGCCCCACTGGAGTATTACTACTTTTCAACACGCTCTGAAATCTCACAAATCAAAATGTGAGGAGCCCAAAGCAGAGGGAAGAGACCAAAGAAACAGCGGGCGGTGTAACCTGAGTGCTCCCCGCCCGGGAGGGTGCCCAGCCCCAGGGCACCATGGGAAACTCCCACCTGCTGCTTCATGGTCTTCGTGTCCCAGAGCAGCAGCCTGCCCGGCACCTGGTTGGTGCCCCTGCCGCCGATGTCTGGTGCCAACACATCCACGTGGGCAGTGAGGCTCGAAGCTGCAGCCGAGCAGACGAAAGACGCCCCGCTGGGGCTGCACGCGAGAGACAGGATCCTGCAACACACAGGGGGTGTCGGTAGGGGGGGCAGCCCAGCACTCTGCCCGCCCACAAAGGAAGCGGGGGCTGGGCTCGGGGGCTCGGCCAAGGTCAAGGCCGGCCCACCAGGCACAGTGGCGGGGGGAGCGGCGTCTGGCTCACCTGGGCATATCATCATTGATGTTGATTTCACAGAGGTTCTTCTTGGCTTCTGTGTCGTAGAGGCGCACTGTCCCCACACCGCTGCCCAGCAACAGCTGGAAGCAGAGGGACAGCTCAGGGTCAGGCCTGCTCAGAGAGGCTCACAGGAGGGCGAGGCCCACCCCTGTGAGGGGGAGGGCAGGCTGCGGGGTGACCCACCCCCGCTCCCGCAGGTAGGACAGGGGAAACCAGCTAAAATAGACCTCTTTTAAAAATTAAAGACACTAGAGCTGACCTTGAAGGAATCTGTGGAATGGGAGGTAGGTATCACCACAGGCAGAACTGGAAAGGAGACCCTCTGCCCTCCAACTCTCCTGTCTTCCAGTTTCAATGCCAGCTGCCCCGTTCCTGTCCTCTGGCTCCTGGCCCACCACCACCTCTGTGGGCAGAGGCCTCAGCTGGCCATGGGTCTGGGTGATAGCCCCATTTGCATGTCCTGGGCACAGCTCTGGCTCTGGGCCTATAAAGGCCTCCAGGAAAAATAGAGGAGGCCATCCTTGCCTTCAGGACAGCTCTGGAGGTGCGGTGCTCGAGTGCGCAGTGAGAAGAGAGGGGAGGGGTTTGGCCTGGGGTCCCAACCAAGCCTGTGGTGCCGGAGCAGCAGGGGAGAACCCTGGGAGGTCCTCACTTAAGACCACAGGTCCAGCCATGGGCAAGACCACTCACCAGCCTGTCCCGCTTGGTGGCCCACTCTAAAGAGAGCAGCGGTGACTTGGAGATAGAGGATGCCTTGGTCTGCATGATGGGGTTGAAGGACCACACTTTGATGACCCCGTCCACGTCCAAGCTGGCGACCCTTCTCCCCGAACAGTCCACCCTGAGATGAGACACAGAGCCACACCATTAGCATCCCCACCTGAGTCTGCCATCCTCCTCAGCCCAGGCCCAGAGGACTGCCTTTTCTGACTCTCCTGCTGAGAGATGCCCATGCTCCAAGGATGGGTGTGGACTACTTCTAGAAATATTCATTCATTCATCTATCTGATAACTACTCACAAAGCATCCATTATGTGCTGGGCCCAGTGGGCATCACCTACCCTTTGGACGTTACTCTCCAGGATCAGAAGGAGTGGAGGAGCTGTCTTGACCAACAACAGCCCCAGTGGCAGCTGTCCAGCCTTCCTCTGACAGTTCACGGTCCCTCGGGGTTATCCCACCACCTGCATCTCTGTTATCCCTCATCATCCTGCTTGCCAGGCCTTTAAACACACAGCCTGAGACCACAGGCTTCCCAGGGAGCCCACCCCTCTTTCCCCCAAGGCCCCACCCCAGCGGCCAGCACCCACCTGCAGTGCATAATGGAAGAGTGGTGCTCCCCATACTCCTCCTGGCCCAGCACGATGAACGGCTGCTCGGGGCGGACACCCCCACCCTCAGGGCCTGCCGTGGGCACCCGCGTCAGCGTCTCCGGCGCCTCTACGTGGAGCTCCGGGCAGGGCTCTGCCTCTGGGCCACCAGCTTCAGGCTTCTTCTCCGCACACTGCGCCAAGCAAAGCAGGCACAAGTCAGCAGTGAGGGGTCGGCGCTGGGCCCGGCTGCTCCCTATGTCTGGGGACATGCTGGGGGTGTCTAGGACGCCAGGCCACAGCCCTCGGGGGAGGATCTTGGTGGTCATGGGGTCTTAAAGAAAGAACTCTGAACTCCAAGAGCCTGCTTCACCGGCAGCCCCATCCTAGAGACCATGAGGAAGGAAGTGTGGGCCACAGACTCCCGGTCCCAGCTGACGAGACCCAGGACACGCACGACCCTGACAGACCAGGCCAAGAATCAGTGAGGGAGGGACTGCCCACTGCACGCCAGGCACTGTGAACATGATGGACTGTCTCATGTTATGCTCCCTCAACCATCTGTGATCCTGTTACTAACCCCATTTTACAGCTGTGAAAACTAAGACGGAAAGCTGAAGTTAAGTAACCTTGCCTAGGATCAAGAGCTGGCCCTGGGGGTGGGACACCGATGTGAAGCCAGGTCCGTCTGAGGTAAGCCTGGCCGCCCACCAGCACCTCCTCCTGGGAGACTGGGGTGATGGGCTAGGTCCGAGGACAGCAGCTAAGCTAGCGCAAGGCAGGGCACCAAATGGCACCCACACACACTGCCACCCAGGGGGCTGCTGTCCGTCTCTGCCTCTCAGGGGCACTGGGTGCTGGCCACCACGACTACCACCTGCTCACCCAGACAACCCAGGCCACGGAGCCTCAGCCAGGGTGCTCTCTACCATCCCCCCTCGTTCTGGAGACTCCTGGAAGCTCTCCTCAGAGACCCAGAAAGAGCAGTTTTACAGAAAAAATAAAATGTAACAAAATAAAGGAAAAGAGAAGTTGGAGCTCAGAGGTGCTTTCAGGAGTGGCTGAGCTCTAGAGGTATAGGATTATACCTCTAATTCTATAGCCCAGAAGGATCTGAGATGTGAGCTGTAAGGCTCTATGCCATTGGACCAGAACACGTTCAGGGATGCTAATCCCCAAAATGCCTTTAAAACAGGCAAGTAGCCTGGATTAGGAGATAAACAGTCAATAAGGTGACTTAAGGCAGTAAATCCCCTGGGACTTTGCCTTCAATCCCGAGTATTTCACTGAAGCAGCAGCAGCTTATACCACCAGGAAGGGAAAACCCCAACCCACATTCACTGGTGAGAAGCGTCTCTGAACCAGCCTGGCAAGGGCCGGGCCACCACATGGCCGCTCCAGCAGGGAGTGCAGGAGAAAAGGCCCGTGACTGAGCAGGTCTGCGCGATGCTGGGTTACACCAAGGGGACCCTCTCCCCCGACTCCAAGCATCCATGACATGAGCACACTAAGGCACAGTTAAACTCGGGGGAGGACAGAGCACGCAGGGGTCCCAAACCAATTGTTCACAGAGCTCATCTTCTGGGAAACATCTTCAAAGGCCAGCATTTTATGGCCCCTGTTTAGGGCAACGCTACACCGGGAAAAGGGATCCCTGGAAAGCCCAATTATTCTGGAATGAAACAACCAAAGTGCAAGCAGTTAAAGCCAGTTAGGCAAAACCACACAAGGCACAGCAAAAGAATCAAGAGAGGTAAGAGCAGGCCCTGAGCGACCCCTACCCCCCACCGTATCCCACAGCTGTCCACCATGGAGGAGGGCCTGTGGGGTGTCCCCGCGGGCGTTCGCGAGACACTGAGGCCAAGCCGCACCTGCAGAGTCATGGACAGGAGCTCCTTCCGTTCCTTCCCGTGGTCCTGCAGGCGCCGCTGCCGGTGCTGCGACCAGCTGGACTCCCCCGGGGCCAGCCCGCCGAAGAGGCTTTTCCCGTCCTTGGGCGCGCCGGCCAGCTCCCTGCCCTTGGCGGTCTGGAGGACGAGACACCAGGCTGTGAAACGTGTTGTCCCACGCGGGCCCGGGCAAGGAGGGAAGCAGGAGCCAAGGAAGGGACTCTGCCTTTAGTGCTGAGTAAGGCTCCTCCCTGTCCAGGCTGAGAGTTACTACCCCGGGCTTCCTTGCTGTTATAGTGGTAGAGAATCCGCCTGCCAATGCAGGAGACACGGGTGCGATCCCTGGTCCAAAAATATCCCACATGCTGGGGAGCATCTAAGTCTGTGTGCCACAGTGACTGAGCCTGTGCTCTAGAGCCCGGGAGCTGCAAGGACTGAAGCCCGCACGCTCTGGAGCCCGTGCTCCGCAACAAGAGCAGCAACCACCACGAGAAGCCGGTGCCCTGCAACTGGACAGTCGCTCCTGCTCTCTGCAACTAGAGGAAAGCCCACACAGCAACAAAGACCCAGCACAGCCAAGCCTAAATAAAAGAAAATTAAAAAAAAAAAACATATTATTATCTCAGCCCATGAGCAAGGTCAAGGGCAAAACACCAGCAGTCTGTACCTCCTCCTTCCTGTTCTCCACTACCCCATCCTGAGAGGACAACTCCCCAGCACTTCTCTGCCTGCCACATCTACTGCCTGGAGGTAGATACACACATATCCTCCTGATCTATTCAGCAATAGTTAACTTTATTTAGTTTAGTTAGCACTTAGCGAAGCAACAATTATGAGACAGATCAGGCCCTACTCTGGTGTTATATTTAAAAGCAACAATGTGTTTGGGCAAAAGAGAGGGGAAAAAATTATGCAAAATATAATCACCCCTCTACAAGGGAAAAAGACACACAATACCCCCTCTTGTTTTGGGCCAAGTGCATGACTAAGCCAGTCAAAAGTTAACAAATATTGAGGTATTTGGAAATGATTATTGGGCAACCAGAAAGCCTTTTAACAGAAATAGTTGGAAACTCAAGGACTTTGGGGCAGGATAAACTGGACAAGAGAGAAACTGGCATCTTCTGGCTCCTTTTCATAGCAACAAGTGATAAAGTCAACCAACGTTACAGCAAATGAACTCAGTAATTCCTACCCCAGGCTTTTTTGGTGACTCAGACAGTAAAGAATCTGCCTGCAATGGAGGAGACTCAGGTTCGATCCTTGGGTCAGGAAGATCCCCCGGAGAAGGAAATGGCTACCCACTCCAGTATTCTTGTCTGGAGAATTCTAGTCCATGGGATCGCAAAGAGTCAGACACAACTGAGCAACTAACCAGGGCTTCCCAAGTAGCAATCATGGTAAAGAAACTGCCTGCCAATACTAGAGACACAAGAGACGTGGGTTCAATCCCTGGGTCAGGAAGATGCCCTGGAGGAGGGAATGGCAACCCACTCTAGTATTCTTGCCTGAAGAATCCCATGGACAGAGGGGTCTGGCAAGCAGCAGTCATGGGGCCACAAAGAGCTGGGCATGACTGAGTACATAACCCCCACCCCACTCCCACAGAGACTGAAGATTTCTAATCTAGAGCTCTTTAAAAAGGAGCTGCCACCTCATCACCTTTCCAGATGATCGGGCTGGGTTCTCTTTTTCTAATCTTATTCCCACAAATTGTGATGGTCACACTCCTACCCCCTCTTTTTTTTTTACACTCTTAGCAAAGGGATATAGATACCAACAGCCACTCAGTTTGAGACCAACCTACTCACAAATCATTTGTACACAAGTCCTAAGTAGAGGATAAATTCCACCAAAGTCTACACGTGGCCTTTTAGTTCTTCTGCTTGTTATATTTTATGTTAACACTAAACAACTTTAAACAATTGACATAGATTCCCTGGGACCCTGAGGTCATATGAACAGTTAAGAAAGGAAATTTTAAAGCCTATTAGTTTATCTGGAGCATAACTGTGGCTGACAGGATTGGTTATTTTTGTTTTTCTGACTAAAGCGACCTCCAGTGGTACCTGGAGGTATTTGTCACAGATAGTTTCTCTAGAATGGTTGATCTCTGAATTCTGACTTATTTGGGGAACAGTAAATTTCTTAAGATTCTTTAAAAAATAAGCTAAGAATAAAATCAACAACAATAATGTCAATATATATTACTTACTGAGCATTTACCATATGTAAGGTACCATGCTAAGAATCTTACAAACATTCTCTTAAAGATGAGGCATTATATTAAGATGGGGAGCAGCTGTATAGAGAGGTTAAATTACTCATCTACACAGGATGAACTTGACAGAACTGTAACTCACACCCAGATCTGACAGTGGCCCCATGATCTGAAAAACCTGAAGAAAGCAAAACCATGATGGAAGCACATGAAAGAAAGTGACACTGAATAGAAAAGAGAAGAAGGAATGTCATAATCCTGGAATCTAAATAACAACCAAGAGAGGCCCCTCTCTCAGTGCTTCTGGCCGTTCTGGAGAGGCATCCCATGGTCCAGGGAGCACTGAATAGGTCCCATCATTTTAGAAAGTGGAAGATGACTTCTCTTACCTTCCCAAAAGTAACAAGTGGTCCTGAGTTAACCATGTTCCCTCACATGGTCCCAGGGTGGGCAGTGGAGTGGAGGGCAGTTCACTCCCTAGTAGGTGATCCAAGGGTGCCAACTTTCATTACACAAATCTATTTATTCCTCCTGACTGATCCAGAAGGCAAATTGCTCAGACTAAGGAATTTCACAGGGGAGGCTATATCATGCCCAGTTGCCCAGCCATGTCCAACTCTTTACAACCATATAGACTGTAGTCTGGCAGACCCCTCTGTCCATGGAATTTTCCAGGCAAGAATTGCAGTGGGTTGCCATTTCCTCCTTCTGGAGATCTTCCCAAGCCAGGGATCGAACCCGTGTCTCCTGCCTCTCTTGCATTGGCAGGCAGATTCTTTATCACTGTGCCACCTGGAAAACCCCCATAGGCTATACTATATCAGACAAGAGACTTTAGGCCAAAGACTGAAATAAGAGATAAAGAAGGCCATTTTATAATGATAAAAGGGTTATTTCAACAAGAGGACATAATATTTGCAAATATTTATGCACCTGACATCAGAGCACCTCATATATAAAGCAACTATTAACTGACTTGAAGGGAGAAATAGGCAGCAATACAATAATAGTTGAGGACTTCAATACCCTACTTTCACCAATGAAGAGATCATCCATACAGAAAATCACTAGGGACAAACTGGCCTTAAACTGCACATTAGACCCAGTCAACTTAATAGACATTTACAGAACATACCACCCTCAAGCACACATGTAACATTCTCCAGAATAGATCATATATTAATAAACGTAAGCCTTAATAAATGTAAGGAGATTAAAGTCATAGCAAGTATCACAATGGATGAAACTAGAAGTCAATTTTAAGAATAAAACTAAAAAGTTCATAAATATATGGAGACTGAACAACCAATGAGTCATAGAAGAAACCAAAAGATAAATCAAAAAGTATCTTGAGACAAGTAAAAATGGAAACACAATATACCAAAACCTATGCAAAACTGATTCTAAAAGGGAAGTTTCTAATAATAAACACCTGCATTAAGAAGAAAGAAAGATTTCAAGTAAACAACTTAACTGTACACCTCAAGAAACTAGAGAAAGAAGAATACACAAAGCCCAAAGTTAATAGAAGGAAGGAAATAACAATGATCAGAAAGGAAAACAATGAAATAGATTAACAAGTCAATAGAGGGCTTCCCTGGTGGTCTAGTGGTTAAGACTCTGCCTGCCAATACAGGGGACATGGGATCGATCCTGGGTCCAGGAAAATCCCACATGCCGCGGAGCAACTAATCCTGTGCATCACAACTGCTGAGCCTGCACTGTAGAGCCCCTGAGCTCCAATGACTGAAGCCCACAAGCCTAGAGCCCATGCCCCGAAAGAAGAGAAGCCTCCACTCTCTGCAACTAGAGAAAGCCCATGTGCAGCAACGAAGCCCAGCACAACCGAAAATAAAAATAAATAAATAAATCTTTAAAAAAAAAAAGAAATGATCACTGAAACCAGGAGCTGGTTTTTTGAAAGTCAAACAAAATAGACAAACCTTTAGCTTGATTTACCAAGAAAAAAACCAGGACTCAAATAAATAAAATTAAAAATGAATTCTAAAACACATCTCCAAAAGCTCTACCATTCTGATAGAAAAGATAAAGTCGCTGGCAGTAAAGGCCATGTTTTCTGGACCACAAAGGTGGCGATGGGAACCCCACAGCTAGCTACGAAAACAGTGCTTAGAGGAAGATCAGTTTCCTGGGTTGACAGCAGTTTTCCAAAATAGTGGGATCCTGGCAAGCAAGGAAGTCTCAAACTAGCCTGGCACAACTATGATTCAGGTTTGAAAGACTTATCAGCCTGACCAAGAAACCTTTATACTGGATACTTGAGAAGAAGCGGGAAAAGCATCCATTTACTACTGCATGCATGCCCAGGGAAAGTACAGAGACTACAGGGGTACCCCACTTTGGGGCCAAAGGTGGAGGAGGCTGCAGAACAGGCACAGGCATTTGGTGGAATGCTTGCCTGTCCTTACTCACCTGCTACACCTGATAAATGCTGTCTTTTCCCTTTCTAACAGGTGGTGTTAAGAGGACCCAATTCAATTGGCCCAAATGGATGGAATAGAGGGGCTTAGGACAGGCTTCAAATTCCTCCAGCTGACACAAAAGACACTTGCAACACTTCCCCAGCAGGTATATTACAACATTAAGAAGAACAAAAGCAATGCTTCCTTCTTGAGTCAAGATGGCAAGGAAGCTGTCCAGTGTACTACAGGCTGGAAAGTACTCCAAAATGAAAATTCAAACAGGTGTTAACATATAAATAAGAAAAACTATCTTTATAATGATAGGATAACTTATACCAAGAGAGCTATAGACCTAAACATGATCTAGCAGATCCTACTTAGAGAGCGCTTCTCTTTAAACTGTATCTAAGATACATCAGCTGAGCCACAAGGGAATCCTCAAGACATACAAAAGAAGGGGAAACATCAACAAAAAACAATCGCACACTAAAAGCTGATGAATGCAGCTATCCACCAAACACCTAAATAAGTAGGTAAAGTAAACCTGTGTCCAGCTACAAAGGCATATGACTTAAGTACATATTCACTGTGACACACCCAGCAATTCAAAGTTTTATTTTGTTTTAAGAGCAACCTTCATAAAAATCTTAACTACTGGATTCATGTAACATTCCAACAGTCCAAATTATATTGTCCCAATCTATCATAATCTACCTGTCTCCTACAGTTCAAGAGAGGTACATTTATCGTGCTTTATCATCAGACCTTCTCTCCTCTCACTCCAGAGAAGGATCTAAATTCACTTTTGGTGGCCTGAATAGACTTACCAGGCAATCGTCCAAATGGAACAGAAAACAAGTTCCAGTAATTTGGCCTCACCTGAGGCAAAATAAAGCCACTCAGAAGACAGGCCCAAGTAACAGAGAAATTACAGAATGAAAGATGGGGAGGAGGACTCCCTTTTCCCCATCCTGCTGAGATCCATGGAAACAGCCCCAGGGGCGGCATTCTTACTGCCAATGTCACGGGAGCTATAGGATAATTTGATACTAATAAGAGTTACAAAGACACAAGCCTGTGGACGCTTTGCTTTCTTTACATTACCGTCAATTAAAGGTTATCTCTGTAATAACCATAATTCCCCCTCGTAGTCCCAAGGTGACTGAGTGGGTGTGGAAGGAGTGAAACTGTAACTGGAGGGGATGATGGGGTAACACTGCAGTGGGGGAGCCTGCTGAGGAGGTGCCTGGGGGGTTTCTATAATAGAGATCCCAGAAGAGCTTGGGAACTGTGGTTTTACAGCTACTTCTAAAATTTTGCCTCCAGATTCATAGTGAAAGCACAGAGAATGTATCACTGTAGACTCTACATCTATAATGTAGAGAACTTTTCAGTGTTAACAACAACAGTTACAGGGACCAGTCACAAGCGGGCAAAATGCTGATATAATTGAAGCTTACAATCGTTGTTTTGTCACTATATCATATCCGACTCTTGCCACCCAATGGACTGCAGTCCGCCAGTCTCCTCTGTCCAAGGGGTTTTCCAAGCAAAAAAGTACTGGAGCGGCTTGTCATTTCCTTCCCCAAGGGATCTTCCTGACCCAGGCTTATTTAAAAAAAAAGTGTCATGTTATATTGACTTAAAAGCAATATATCACTAAAATCACAGGAAGTTATCCTATAACCAACAGCATTTGGTATTGGTGAGAGCATCCTGAATTGTAAACTCGAATTTGGCCACCAACCATATAAAGGAGTTAAAAAATTAGAATGTCCCCCCCAAAAGAAGGGAACCAAGATGGTGAGGAGTCTAGAAATCATGCCACATAGGTAAATAGCTGGGCAGAAAGTGAGGAATGAACATTGTGTTTAGCATGGAAAAGACAGAAAGAAGCCTTATTCTATGCAGCTTGAAGGCAAAGCTAAGATCTGTGAGTGAAAATCACAGAGACTTCAACTAACAACTTTCAAACAGGCCAACACCCACCCCAACACAAGCAGTGAGCTCCTCACCACAGGAGGCAATCAATCAAATTAAAGGTCATCTGGCCCACTCTCCTAGCCAATAGGAGGGTGGGCCAGATGACCTTTAAACTTTCTCCAACTCTGAATTCTATGATTTTCTTGAAACTCAGATATACTAGTTATTTTTAGAGCTGAAACATCACTGCTGAGTCAAATATATCATTTAAAAAAACAAGTGAGCCAACCCCTGGATTTTTTAGATTGAGAGCATTTATCGTCTGTACCCAGGAAATGAAAAGAGTGCTACGTCTGCTCTGTTAACAAGCCAGAAGCTTTGTTTGAACACAGGTAAAGTAAAGGTAATAAAGGTAAAGTAAGGAACATTTGCTGCAGATTACACATTCTTACCTTCGTCTCCTGAATAGGAACCTCACAAACATTTCCAATCACATTTCACTCTCAGTTTAGTGTCTGAACACATAAAGATATGGCCACAGGCCAAAGCGCAAAGACCCCATCTCCATGCTTTCAAGTTAATGAAACTGAATTTCATCATTTCATGTACATTTCAAGGGATGTAGCACTCCATACATCATCTATTACAGGATAATACCTTCCCAACTACAATAACTACAATGTATTGTGAGCTCATCATCTGTCAGGCACTGCATATACCATGGGCTCTCATTTCAACTCAAACACCTCTCCCCATAGGGAGTAAATGCTTTTATCATTCCCAGGCCAAGTGGGTGGGGAGATGTGAGCAAGGATGCTAAACAAGGTACAGTTGCCTGAGTCCAAAGCCCATGCTTTTTCTTCCCCCATGTCCTGCTCAGCATCTGCACTTGAACAATAGTATGAAATCCAAGTGCTGTGCTAAAGGCCCCAACGTCCCAGTGGCAGCATAGACAGACCCCTGTCTCCCCAGGCCGCCCCACGCTGCTGTGTCACCTGCAACTGTTCTCAAGCCAAGGGCAGCAGGAGAGGAAGGCAGAGATGATGACAACTTACTGTATCTGCAAGTAATAAAAATCTTGAGAGGGAAACAGTCCCTACCCAAGCAATAAAGCATAACTCTGGATCTGTTAAAGCTTCACTCTGGCCAACATTTCTGAAAGCAATGTTCTGACCATCTCCGCTTGGAAAACTAGTCAAGTTTTGGACATATGCTGGCATAAAAGAAATTTTCTTGCAAGCTTTTATGAAAGAAAAAAAATAGCAAAAATCCTTTGTAGCATCAGGAAATAAGAACTTGTAGTAAAAGAAGTACCACACTGATTTAGAACTTTACTCTATACCCACTACTTTCTATCACCAAAAATTTTAAAGTTCAGAATCGCTTGAACTCATGCTTGAATAACCAAATTTTAGTCATAAGCACTCATGAGTTAGAGGAAATTGATGAGAAAAGGGAAGGGACCCTTTAGAGCACACTTCCTCCTGTCACCATCCACCCTCCCACCTGCAGGTCCAAGGGGAGGGCGGGCAAGTCTCCACGTGGGTGACGAGTGGGGTGTCGGAAGCTGGACCTGCACTTACCTGGCTGCCGAAGGGCTCCTTCTTGGCCGAGCTCTGAGTCTGAGCGGGCCCCTGGGCGGGCGACAACCTCGAGGGGCTCTTCTTGCTCTGAGGCAGCAGCGAGGACAGGAAACCCACGCGTGGCGACTGGGAGAGGGAGGCGTTCCTCTGGCTGCACACCATGGCTCTGGACAAGCAGACACAGCACCAGGTCACGGCGCTGGACGGGGGCCTGGGAGAGCCCGGGGCACACACTGTGTGGGCTATGGATGCTGCTAGTAACCAGGGCCACGGCCAGGTTTGCACATCTGGGCTTTGAGGCGGCCTGATGATTGGTGTCCTTTCACAAAGGGAGCTCGCAGCCTACTTGGCACAACCGGGAAGGCTGTGGCTCTCTGAGGGCCACGGTAAAGCCCAGAGCAGAGCTGTCTACTGCCCACTGGCCACATGTGGTGTTGAGCACCTGAGATGTGGTCAATCCAAATGGAGAAGTGGAGAAGTGCTGCAGGCATAAAATCCACACTGGAATTCAAGATTTAGCATGAAAAAGAGTTGTTAAATAGCTCATGAATAATTTATATTCATTGCATGTTGAAATGATACTTTGAAAAAGTTGGACTATATAAAACTGAAAGTGTTAGTCACTAAGTAGTGTCAGACCCTGCTGACATGAGTGTCAGACCTCACAGACCATAGCCTGCCAGAGTCCTCTGTCCACGGAATTCTCCAAGCAAGAATTCTGGAGTGGGTTGCCATTCCCCTCTCCAGGGGAACTTCCTGACCCAGGGATCAAACCTGGGTTCTCCTACATTGCAGGCAGATTCTTTACCATCTGAGCCACCAGGGAAGCCTGGGCTAAATAATAAATATCATCAAAATTTACCTTTTTTACGATAGTTACTGAAAGTTTTAAGTTCAATTTTTGGCTTGCACTTTACTTCCACCAGCAGGCACTAGCTCAGAAACCAGAGAAGTTTCATCTGCTGCAGGACTTGGCCACAGACAGGTTTGGGATCTGACTACCTGGGTTTGCATCCTGATTCACCAATCACTGATCCTGGGAACTGTGGTGCCTGCGTCTCTTCCACTGCTATTATCATCATCATCTGGGTCTCTGGCTTTCAATGGCTGTTTTTTAAGGCTGCTCAAATACCTCTCTCCCAACCTGCCTACCGCTCTGAAACCTGAGACAAGAGCATGCGTCTATGGAGAAATGTGTTGACAATCTTGGCATCCATGGGGCGCTCCTTGCAGAGCACAGAAACTTCCGGGGGCTTCACGACGATGGCTGTGTGTATTAACCCAGGCTGCACACACCTGCATGTGTGAGCCCCTGGCAGAGCCTGTAGTTTCCCTGCCTCCGGTCAGGCCCAGAGACTCAGAAAACTCAGACTAGAACAGTGGGCGCTCAGGAGGTTCCTGGCAATTCAGAGGCGTCACCAGGAGGAAGAACGCTGCGGACAGAGCGAGGAGGGGGCGCGGCACACACTCACAGTTCCGAGTCCCCCAGGCGGTCCATGTTGGAGACATAAGGAGGCAATTTGTGCTGGACCAAGGCCTCTTCCTCCTCCGGCTGTTGCTCCTCTTTCTTCAGTCGATGGATTTCGGCTTGTAGTGCAAACAGCTACGTAGAGGTGGGGGTGAGTGAGACGGGGATCTCACCTAGCCTTCCCTCCCCTGGGGAAGATCAGACACATCACGTCCAAAACCCAACCACACTGACTCAAAGGCCACTCGCCCTCAGCCTCGGGGTGCCCATCTCACTCTCTGCAGGCTGCAAAGATAGGTGAGGCTGCTGTGACTTGATGACAAAGAGGTGAGAAAACTAAAGACCGTTAGATAATACGGAAGCTACTTCTTTTTTCTTTTTATCATTTGACTTGCTTCCCTTTTATCATTTGACTTGCTTCTTCCTGAATTCACTGAGAAAAATGGCTCCACCCACTCCTGCTTTCCTCTTGGGAATCTACAAAACCAGACTTTGGAACTCAGATGGAAAAAAAAATTTTTTAATGAAGGTCAGCATTTTTTACCTTTTGCCTGAAGATAATTATACACACAGGCCCAAACCTAAGAACCTTAAACCCCCAAAACCGAAACAGCTTATAAGCTTCCTTTTTCTGAAAAATCCTCCCTTTCCTGATGGTGCATCAATTTCAAGGTTAGAGAAATGCTCAGGGAAATGGAAAGGCAAATGTGAGCTGCCCCAGGAGCTGTTCTTTTACCAAAGTAGGAAAACCTGGTCAGGCTGAGAACAATTAAATCATATCTGGGCTATAAACAAGACAGAGGTGGAGATGGGTGGAAAAGGCCTGGGAGTGGGAAGCGGAGATATACAAGCAGGTTAGCAGCAAGGAGACATTCATGCATAGAGTCATTTTCCTCTTAAAAGTTCACGGCTATTACTACCTTGCTCATGCTATGACTTAAAACATCAACCTCGCCTCTGGTTTTCAAAGGCTTGTCACAGCTCCCAACACTGCCTTTCTGGTGACTCACTGTCACCTGAGACCAGTGCTGTCCCCTACTGACTCACCCTCCATGGCCACTGCCTAATTTCACACATGAAAAGCAGAAGTGCTCCCCAAGGAGCATCAAGCGTCATTCAGAACAAACCTTCTGGCGCAGAACTTCATTCTCTTCTTGAACCTGGTTGGTCCTCTGGCACTCCGCATCAAAGTTCAGGATCACGGGAACTGGTGTACTGAGTTAAAGAATAAGCCTGCCTTTTAATCAACTTGACTGCGGTGGTCATGACACAATGCGTACATACACCAAATCCTTAAGTTTTACACCATATATATATATATATATATATATATATATACACAAACACACACACACAATGTTTCATTGTCAATTATATTCCAATAAAGATGGGGAAAAATTGCCAATTAAAATATGTATTGTATCACAAACTCTGCAATAACACAATTCAATAAACGTGTTTTAAAAGAAAAAGAATAAGCCTGCCTGCAAAACAATTAAAAGCCATTTCAGACACTTTAGACACCTCAGCAACACCCTTGAATGTGACACGGAGTAAAGACTCTGTGCTGTGGGCTCCTCAAAGCTTTATGAACAGTCTCTCCCTTGACCCTGGGTCTGGCCTGACTTCGTTCAGACAGACTCACGGACACCTGACAACATGCCTGGCTGGCCCACAGAGGACACACCTCCAAACCTGACACTTTCTCCCAAATGCCAGCAGCAAAGGGTTTATCTCGCAGGCTTCACACTCAGTCTAAGGTTTAGCGACATTCAGCGAAAAGCCAGCCCAGTGGCCAGTGGATCTGTGGGCACAGGGCCAGCTGCTCTATCAGCTGGGTAGAAGGACTGGCCACTCGCCTTTTCCCTCCTCAGGGTAAGCCTCTCCTTGGCAAAGGTTCAGGCTGAGAAGCAAGCTTTCTGCAGCCTAGGAGCCACCTAGGAGGATCCACCAATGAGGTCACAGGGTCAGTCTTTCCCAGCCACCTCATACAGCGTCAGTCCAGAGGAGCTCTAAGCCGGCAGGGCCTCAGTTGGGCAAGCGAGCTTCCCTGGAGGGCCCACGAGGTCAAGCCCTGACCACCTCTGGGCTGGGGCCCCTGCAAGTTTTGTCTGAAAGCCCTCAGGATAAAGAGTGGCAGCAGGGGGAGAAAAAGGGCCAACCTGGGTAATTCACACTCACCCCAGCACAAAAGGAAATGCTCCCTTCCTACCTCCACCAGAAGATGGTCCTCCCAGAGACCAAAAGGCAATGGTGGGTGGGCCTCCACAACGCCCAGCTTATCAGTGACTCACCAGGCAGCCCCATTCAAACCAGACCCCCTTCTCCTCCTGGGGAGTTCCTGCCAGAAAGTACAAGCGAGCGAGAAGGTCCCCAGCTTTCCACAACAAAAGGGTACATAAGGTAGGCTTGGAAATTATTTATGTCCTCTCTCTCCTAAATCTCTCCACATATTCTTAAAGCTGCCCTGTACTCCGACAAGTTGAGGGACCCTGAGGTCACTGTGAAGACAGTGACCCAGACACTAACACAGGAAGGATGTTTCAGCCCTAGAAGTGTTTTCACCTGCTACCTAGTCCCAACAAAGTTCAGTGAAATCCTGGGGGGCCACTGGGCATGCGCAGAGAGGCTGCTTTGGAGGCCAGCCGGTTTCGCTGTGCTTGCTGGGAGAGACCCCAGCCTACTCGAGGGCCCCTATCGCCCTACTGCGAGGACAGTCTCCCCACCCACACATGTCAGCTATTCAGCAGCAGAACTAAGAACTGCAACTCCCACCCTCCCAGATCAAAATAACCACAGCCTGCCCAGCCCCCTCACATGACAACACGACGATGATCTTATGGCTGCGTTAAGTGCAGCAGTGGCTGATCTCGCGGTCAGTTGGCCTCAGACTGGGCCGCCAGCCCCCAGCCTGAGAGGATATGCATGCACTGAAACAGTACGCTCAGGAAGTTGTGCAGGGACACGATGAAGGTGTCGGCCCACTGGCGCGAAAAGTAGGTGGCGAAGGTGGGGTTGGTGTCTGGGGATGGCAGGAAGGGCAGGACAAACCAATCCTTCCACTCGGCCTGGTTCTGGAGCTCCGAGGCCTGCTTTGCAAAGAACTCCTGGGCCTTGTCACTTCTGTTTGTCTGCCAAGACACAGAGGTGGCGGCAAAGAAAGGGGAGAGACAGAAGGCCAGAGGTAAGCCTCTTCACCATCACACTGCAGAGAGCCTCTGAATACTGGCCTCCTGAACAAGTCACCAAACATGATCTATGAACTCTTTATAAAAGAAATCATCACTCTTTTCTCAAGTTCCTTGTAACTTTAAAGAAGCTTGTTTAAAGCCCTAGTGATAAATGCCACCCTAAAAATTAATTCCTAGTTATTTTCAAATAATCTAAGTGATTTACTCCCCCCCCCAAGTCAGTCATAACCTCTTTACTCAAACTTTAACCCAACTACTTATATTCTTCGAAACACCACCCAGGCTAATGTGTTTAAGACAAGAGGAGAAATAGGAATGAGGAAGATAAGTCATATGATCTACAGATGAGAAGGGGAAAAAAAAAAATTGGAAAACAGTCAAAAATAATTTGCACTTGACTGTTCCACCCTTTCCCAGAGTAACAGAGAAGAGCTATTCCTAGGTGTTAAAAGAAAATCTATTTCTGGATTAAATATTTTTCTCCAAGAGATCCCTGAACCAGAAACACCTGGATTGTGTAGACGAGATAAAAGCGGAACAGGCTGGTTTTCAGCTTGTTGATGGTGGGTCTGTACACGTCCTCCAAGCGGCTGAAGAGCCGCCGCTCCAGGTAGTTCCAGTAATCCCGAAGAGCAGTCAGGTCATACACCTGCATTAATTGCTGCAGCTGGTCCACAATCTTGTCCACCTGGAGAAAGATGTGATGGAAAAGGGAATTCTCTTCACTCCACAGAGTTAGTACAGCTTTTTTCCTCTTGCTGCAGCTTCTGGATGCTTCAATTTTTTTTTTCTTTAAGTTAGCAATCTATAAAACTTTCAAAACACTGTAACATAATAGGTTTCAAGTTTTTTTCTTAATGTTAGGTATGCATTTCTACACTTTGGCAAGCATGGAAATTTCAGGTGTAAAAGCACTCTGGCCCAGGAACCAGACAGAGTCCAGGGCCTGGACCTGGCTCTAATTTATTCAACCACCTTGGCAATGTCACTTCAACTCTCCGGTCTTAGTGACCTAAGATTTCAAAAAGCAAAAAAGAGGGAATGAGACAATCTCCATGCTCCTCCTCCATCCCAGGATTCCAAGGCTCATGTTAGATGTACTGCCTCCTTCAAGTCCTCTAAGCACCACTAAAGCCCTGGCGGCTGCTGAGAGTGTCAGCCAAAAGGGGTCCCCTCCTTGTGTGTGAGGAGCACTCATATCAGAGGACACAAGATGGAACATGTTTTGAATACTGATACCATTCTAACCTCCCCCCTCCCCATTTTACAGATCAGGACACTGAGGTTCAAAGAGCTGAAATGATTTGCTTTACCCACCACCAAGTAGCCACTAACTTTGGCAAGACAAGAACCCAGGTCTCCTAACTCCCCTCCAGTGTTCCTGCTGCTAGCTCACTGCCTCTCTCAACTCACCTGCCAACACCAACTGAAGCCAGCAGGTATACACACAAATCACATACACATAACTTCCAAGAACTCAACAGAAAATCATGTCTGAGCAAAGTTATGTTTTCAAATGTACAACAAGGTCTTCCTCGGAGGTGAAGGAAAGCTGCCAATGGGTCACTGACAAAGCCATTTCAAATACCTGAACCTAGCTCACACGGGCTGCAGACCCCTTTGCTCCCAATGCCACTAGAAGCAGCCTTTAGAATATTTCTGTTCCCAAAACCCAAACGTCTATCCAACCATAGCTTCTCAAACCTCATCGCCATCCAGCCAATGACTGGCCAGCACCTGCTGGGAGACTGGGGTGGAGAACAGAGCCCTGGACCAGGAGTCAGGGCACCTGGGCTCCAGCCTCGGCGATGCTCCTGACTCGCTGGCAACTTCAGACAAGTAACGTCCCCTCTCAGGGCCTCAGTTCCTCATCTGTCAAGCGAGTGCCGGACGCGCTGATGTCAATGATCCCCCTGGCGCGGTGACAGCGCCGCTCCCGCCCCGGAGGGCAGTGCTGGGGGAGAGCCAGCTCCTGGCTCCCTCGGGGCCGCCTCTGCCTGCGCCGCGCCCGCCGGCCCCTTACCCGGAAGCCCTTCTCCTTGTCCGCCTTGATCTCTGCGTCCAGCTGCCGCAGAGTGTGCGTGAAGCCGCGGAAGAGCAGGTACTCGCGGACCATCTCGTCAGTGCGCTCCACGGCCTCCGCCATCTCTGCGCCAGCGCCGCGAGGGGCTGCGCCGGGTGAGGGACGAAGGGGCGGGGCTAAGGCCGCGCGGGGCGGGGCCGGGCGCGAGCGCCGAGCCCGTCACGCCGAGGCCGGCCTACCAGAGCGCACGCATTGCGCGCCGCGAGCCTATGGACCCGCCCCCGGCCCGCCCCCGGGCCCGCCCAGCCGCTCCCGTCACTATCACCCAGCTCAAAGAGCAAATGAAAGCAGCACGGCTAGCTGAGTTTTACTGGCAGCACCGGCGGCGGCTGTGTCATCTGAGTTATTGAAAGGGGCGGCTGCCGTCCAAGTCAAGTAGGGCTGGACCTTGGAGATTATCCCAGATAGTCACGAGGCGGGCGGGGGGCTGAGATGCCCTGATCGTTGGCATTACAGCGCCGAATCCTCTGTGCTCTGCCTGCCCTCATTTTACAAATGGGGGAAACTGTAGTCCTAGAGGCAAAGTAACTTGTGTGAAATCACACAACCAGGTGTGTTATCAGGGAGCTCTAACCTCCCCCCAAAACCTACTTTCATAAATAAGATTTATCAATACCGCAAGACAATCAAAGCACAGTTACCAGAAAAGAAAAAAAAAAAAAAAAGGCAAGTTTCAGAACAGAATGTATAATATGATCCCAGTTTCTTGAGGAAAGGAGTTGGGGAGAGATGCGTGTTTTTGTGTATATTTTACAAATTCAGGAAGATCACACACTAACCGCTTGTAGTTGTTTCCTCTCCCAGGTGAGATTCCAAGGGACTTTTACTTCCGAATTTTTACTGCGTTTTTGTTTGACATTTTCATAACGTGCATATAAGCAGGGAAATATTCAATATCTTTGAGCCTCACTTTCCACCTACCTTCCAGAGTAATAATGAAAATGTAATAAGATAATGTACATAAAATGCTTAGCACAGTAAACAGCCCATCAGTAAACTGCAAGGTTTGTTCCCTTCTCTCTAATGGTATGGCTTTCTGTACAGTAAGTCCCCTGCATACAAATCTTCAAGTTGCAAGCTTTCAAAGATACAAACGTGTATTCACACGTCCAATCATGTGTTAGTTCATGTGTCTGGCATACATTGTCACATGTGTGCATCCCCTACAAATAGTTGTGGTTTTGTGTACTTTACAGTACTGTATAGAGTATAACAGTACGATATCTTCATTTTTGCCTTTTCATTTGATACCACCTCCTGTATGACAGCTGTTGTACTGTACTACTGTACTTTTCAAGGTACTGTACTGTTTAATTACAAATGTTTTCTTTATCTTTTGTTTATTTTTTATGTGTTATTTGTGTGAAAAATATTATAAACCTATTACAGTATTATAAGTGCAGCACTATATAGCCCATTGTGTTAGTAGGTACCTAGGGTAATTCTGTTGGACTTACAAGCAAATTAGACTTAAGAACACGCTCTTAGAACGTAATTCATTCATATGCTGGGGACTTACTGTATTTGGCAAAGTACTACTTAGAAACATTACTGCCACTCTACCCAGATCCTCCAATATTATTACATGGAAATTGAGCCCCAAAGGCATTCTGATCTGCACTAGAGAAACTTGAAAAGGTAGCAAAGCATAAAACCCATAGCAAGACAAGGTAGAGACTTGCTCCTCTCTGCCTGCTTTACCTGTCTCCACAGGTGTAAGTGTCCCCTAAGCAGACAGGCTTGTCACACAGGGCAGGCAAGAAGAGTCGCCTCTGTGATCACTAGGAGAACTGGGGCAAGTCATATTAATACTTTGACTGGGATGTCAGATTTTCAAAAGGGAACTTGGGAAATCCTGACAAGTAGCCAATGCCAATACCTCCTGCTACAGGAAAGTTTCGAGTCAGATTCTCCTTTAAAAGGCACCAGAAGCCACAGCCCTCACCTCCCCACCCCGCTCCAACTGCCATGGCAGTTTCAGACCAGAGTCTATAAAACCAACTAAGATTGTTTTTCTGATCAACAAAAGACAGCTCCTCTGGGCCTTAGTAGGAGCTCTTTCCTCTACCAGGAATGCCTTCTCCCAGATACCCATATGGATGGCTCATTTGAGCAAACACAGGAAGGAGGCTATGCACATTGGCACTAATGTCACCTTGTCAGAAAAGTCTGACCATCCCGTACAAAATAGCAGTGCTGTCACGTCCAGAACTCCTAGCCCCTTTGCCCGGCTATATCTTTCTACATAGCACATATCACCACCTGACATACTAGATATTTTACTTATTTATTATCTGTCCCCTGCCCCCTTTGAAAATATAAGCGGCATGAAAACAGAGATTTTTGTCTTAATCATTTGCTACTATAGCCCCATTGGGGCTTTCCTAATAGTTCAGTGGTAAAGAACGCGGTATAAGAGAATCAGGTTTGATACCTGGGTTAGGAAGATCCCCTGGAAGAGGAAATGGCTACCCATTCCAGTATTCGTGCCTGGAAAAAAATCCCATGAACAGAGGAGCCTGGTTGGCTATAGTTCATGGGGTCGCAAAGAGTCAGATATGACTGAGTGACTAAGCATGCATGCATAGCCCTACTACCTAAGATAGTGTCTGACTTATAGTTATTACTATTACTATTAAGCTTAAAATAGTCACTTGTGCTTGGAAGCTTTGTTGATTGGCAGCTAACCCCTTGTAGGCTCCATTTCCATGAAATAAGTGAGTCTCAGACATCTGTGTTCCCACAAATCCCTCGGAAATTGGTCCAAATACAGATTCCCAGGCACCATCCAAGCAAGAACTGACTCATTGGAAAAGAACCTGATGCTGAGAAAGATTGAAGGCAGGAGGAGAAGGGGACAAGGGAGGATGAGATGATTGGATGGCATCACCGACTGGATGGACATGAGTTTGAGCAAGCTCTGGGAGTTGGTGATGGACAGGGAAGCCTGGCGTGCTGCAGTCCATGGGGTTGCAAAGAGTCGGACATGACTGAGCAACTGAACTGACTGACTGATTTCATCTGAAGTTCATTCAGCCCTATGAAGTCTTTTTCTCCTCATCGTATAAATAAAAAACTGAGGTTTAGGGAGCTTAAATGATTTATTCAAGTTCTCAGGTTGACGCTTCTGATTCCAAGTCCTCCAGTGCTCACAGTAGCATCACTGAATTAGTCAGCTTGTGAGATAGGCTGCGTGCCTAAGTGAGGACAATTATGTCCCCTTCCTAAGAGTATTAGAGACTAACCACGCAGGGTCTCTTTCATGGCTGGAGCACTTTACCGCGAACAGGGATCAATCAGTTTAACCCTGGGTACCACAGATAACAGGTCAAAGGTATAAGAGCTCTGGAGCTCTTTAAATTTCTGGGATTATTTTAGAATTTAATCTCCTACCCATACTTCTTTTTTTAGACATGCTGGGAGGCATGTGAGATCTTAGGCCCCCAACCAGGGATCAAACCTGTGCCCCTTGCATTGGAAGCACAGAGTCTTAACCACTGGCCTGCCAGGGAAGTCCCTCCTGCCCTTACTTCTGATCCTGATGCTCTGGGCTGCCCTTTGTTTAATCTACAGCTTCTGATATTTCTTGTCATCCCCATCCTTTGCCTGCTCTGCCTGCAGTTGTTCCCTTGAACTCCTATCCTTTAAGACTCAGCCTAGTCATCCCTGGCCCTCACCACTCCAGTTACACTTGGTGTTTCCCTCTCTCTGTTCCCTTAGCCTAGCACCCTGTTTTTGAGTATCACATTGCTTTGTAACTGTCTATCTCATTTCCTTGATTATAAACTCCAGGGAGAAAATAAATAAATAAATAAATAAATAAATAAATAAACAAACTCCTGGGAGCAGAGAGTGTGTTTGTTGATCCTCCAGTGCCTAGCATAGTCCCTTGAAAGGAGGTGCTCAAGAGCTATTTGTTGAATTAATGAATGAATGAAGTCCATGTGACTGTACTGCCTAGGACTCCAAGTTACATGCTCAGTACAGAGCTTCCACTGCCATTGTCTTCAGCAGAGAAATCTTTTCTTATTGTGGTCAGTGTCATAAAGAGTCCTGGGATCTTCTGAAAACTGGAAGTGGCCTGGCATGACCTGTTTGCACACTGATGTTCAACCCCACTGAAAATCAGTGACATAAATTAAAATAGATATTATTTTCCCTTACCAAATTTCCATTGAAAAATCTATTGCCTGGTGTTGATCAACATAAAATGAAGTGTACATTCTCACCAAGCTCCAGATTGAGCTAATTTTCTAGGGATGACATTATAAGTGATTACTCCCCACCCCCCCCCCCCCAGAATGTTCATACTCTTGAACTCAGTGGCTATTGCTTCTAAAATTTCCCTTAAGAATAATTTTTACAAAAACAAGATTCATGTAGAATGGGTTGTTTGTAAGAGTGCAAATTATTTGTAATAATGGAAGTTATTTACAATGGTGGAAGCTGTAAGTACTTAGAGGCTGCAGTGAGGTGTCCTCCAAGAACCTAGGGATGAGGAAACTGCATTGCCACTGGGTGCTGAACTGCAGAACCAGCCCAAGATGGATCAGAAACCAAAGAAACACAGTTAGTGAAAAGAGAGAGGGAAGCTACTGGCTCACAGTACTTGACTGAGCATATCAATTCACAAAATAGTGTGTCTGTCCATCAGAAAAGGTTTTGCACTCAGACTCACAGAAATCAGGGACTTCCCCACTGGCTCAGTGGTAAAAGAATCTGCCTGTAATGCAGGAGACACTGGTTCAATCCCCGGGTCGGGAAGATCCCCTGGAGAGGGCAATGGCAACCTGCTCCAGTAGTCTTGCCTGGGAAATCCCATGGATGAAGGAGCCTGGCGGGCTACAGTCCAGAGAGTCACAAAGAGTCAGACATGACTCAGTGACTAAACAACAACAACACAGAGATCAAGTGAGTGACCAAGGGCAGAGCCCACTGAAGCCCTCAAGTGTATCTCGCCCAGCAGACATCCTGAGTTCTGTCCTATGACAAGACTATGACTAGACCATGAAGGTTGGGCCATTAGAGGTAACCTACCCTTTTCCTAGGTCCAAGCTCACCAGGGGTCCATCTGATTACCCTGGCCTT